TGACGTGCTCCTCATAGCCGGGAGAGTGCCCTGCAACTGACAGTGGCACGCAGCTCGGAGACTGGGTAGGAGGGGCTTAGTCAATGAGGGGGCGGGGCCACAACCACTGTGAAGCTATAAGGAAGGCTTGCTGCTAGGGGAGGGACGGCATGTTGGGGGGCGGAGGGGGGGGGCGAGCTTGTCTCTAGGGGAGAGGGGCATTTGGGATGAGAATGTTACGAGTATGCAACAGCTTTGAACACTTCTGTTTAAGCTCCTGTCTTACGGTTGCAGACAAGACTGGAATTGCAAATCTGACCCTCATCGGCAAAGAAGAGATTTTTCGTTTATTACAGGAGTAGGGAACTTCTTCCATGGAGGGCCGGTGTGGGTTTTTGAGATGACCTCTCAATCAGCCAATAATAAAACAGTGGTTCTCAACTCCAGTCCTGGAGACCCACTGTTATTGGCTGACTGAGAGGCCATCCCAAAAACCTGCACCCCATGGATCAGGTTCCCTACCCCAGATTTATAACACATTTATAATTATTAATTAGTTACAGAATGTACCGTTACATGGACCAGAGAGGTGAGTTTAGTGGTTTGCCTCACCACCCCGGCACTGGGAATCCTGCCCTCGCTGTCTGCGTGCGTGTAGTTTACATGTTCTCGCCATTTTGTGCAAGTTTCCGCCACGTGCTCCAGATTCCCGCCGCGGTCCAAGGACATGCAGTTAGGCTGATTGCCAACCATAAATCACGCACCGAATATGACCATGCGTGCGATTCTACCACAATGAGATTTGAAAGAAACTCTCATTTTCAAAATTAAAAGCATAATTTACTCAAAATTACTGCATAGATTGCCAGTGAAAACATATCCTTGCGTGAAAGAGATTTTAATTTAATTTATTTGTAGGAATAAAAGCTGTCTCTGGTTTTACAAGCCAGATGTTGGTGCTGTAGAGACCTCTAGTGGACTGTTGCCTTCCTGCAGCTCCTGGGAGGATTATATATGAAGGCGGCTCACTGCTGAACGGGCACAGAGACGCTGGCAAGAAAAATCGGCAGCCATCTTTCAGAGGAAAAGCCGCACATGCAGTCGCTGTCCCTGCACGGACTCTGCCGGTTAAGGGTATGGGGACCAGAAGGTATACAGTTGTTGAGAACGTATTTACCGTGTAAAATATAGAACCGCGTAAACTGCTAATATGAATTAGATAAAATTACTCACAAAATGTGCTTTAAAAACAGTCCTTTTGCCAAGGATTTTAAAAAAAAACTATAGTGAGAAGACCTTTTATCATTCACCAAAAATAACTTAGCCCACCTGTAGTATCACAAAACAAACAAACGCCGCTACAAGCAGCTTCTCCCAATAGCAGATTGCAATAACAGACAGAATGGTCACTCTTTTCTATTCGCCTGTCCAGCCAGAACCACAGCGTTTGACCACAGCTGCACAGAAACAGAGCAAGATGGATGTTAGCATTAGCCTTTGACACCAACCACTTTTCATTAGGTGGTAAATGGTAGATGGATCCTTTCCCAACCGGTTCTCCTGCCACGTCTGTCAATCCCAGTAGGCCACGCTGCGGGGATCTGGGCAATATGGATGGGGATGTAAAGTTTGCTGCCATCATGGAACATTCTAGAGGTGCTACTGCCAGGATCGGAGCGCAGCGCACAGACCTACACACGCTGAGGTGTCATTGTGGACGTGTCCGTCACAGGAACGGTAAACTTAAAAACCTAAAGAGCGATGTAGTCTCTTTATGGAGAGGGTACTCATTGTTTGGAAGGAGGACACAGACTTATGCAAGCCCTCCAGAGCTAATCAAGTTTTTTCCACACCCCCCCCCCCTTGCTGTAAACTTACACAGGCACAAAGGCAGAGACGAGCAAGGACCATAAACATCTCACGCTAGACACCGCAACTTCAAAACCACTCGCTCAATGTCGTCGCAATTTAACCAAGAGCAAGGAAAAAACACAGAAAATATACGAGCTCAAGACCAGTGATTTATCCTGCACTTAACCCATGATTTAATGCACAGTCCATTAAAAAAAAAAACCCTCCCTGTCCGTGCTGGGGGGGATTGCTAAATTATACATTATAAAAGCCCCTCCCTCTTGAGTTGCCTCCCTTTCCCAACCGATGTACCCATCTTTGTTCTTCGTGTGACAGTAAATTTCACATTCATATTACAAGCAGCACTTTGCATTGCATGTTCTTTGTATGCGGTACAAAGAAACTGAAATACTTCTTCTGACATGCAGAGTACTGAGCCAATCGAGCCAATTCTCTTCCCTGTGGTCAACGTACGAGTGATGGTGTGAGGCACAGTGGGTAGAGACAGTGATCGCAGTTATCAGAAGGGCACAAGTTCGAATCCCTGATTTGGCAGCACGCTTACGCCGCCGGGCCCCTAGGTGAGGCCCTTAACCCTCGACTGCTGCAGGGACGGTCGGATCCTGCTTTCTCGATTATACGTCACATTTGGATAAAAGTGTCTGCTAAATAAATAGCATGAAATGTACCCGGGTTGCTGCCTCTATTCCAGAAGGCCCTGGAGACGACGATCTTCTCTCCTCGGCGATTTTGAAACTCTAAGCGTACATCTGAGTGCAGAGGCGCCCAGGACGACCCATGATGTCACTACTTAGAAACCTCAGCGGGGCGCTGAGGCTGTCAGCGACCCGGCGGCGGGCATAGCGGCTCCCCAACGGCGCTCCATGAGACGGGTTCTGCGTGCCAAGTATGCCGGCCAAGAAAGTCCAAAAACCCACCTCCAAATATAGCATGGACTAACCACATGGTGAGGTATGTCCCAAGTCCAGCCCTCTGCCAGCACCAGCTGGGGGCGGGGGGCATCTCGGAAATGAATCACGCTCACCCACTGGGTAAATATAGCCCCCCGGACGCCAGTGTCTTGCTGGGGGGGCTTTAAAAGCCTTCAGGAATGTGCGCTGTCTCATCGCTGAACCTCTGAGATCCTCAGTCCTACAACTGTGACTGCAAACAGATGGATCGGCATATGAACAGCTTGGGCACTGTCCCGCGGCACAGCACCACCTGCTGTTGGGAGGTTAAACCGACTGGTTCCATAAAACGGTGATACCAAGATAAGCAACTCATCAGATGAGTCATTGCAGAACAAAAAAAAAAGAAGAAGAAGCGGCACCTGAACTCCCCCCCCCAGCTGGAAAACATTTAATTAGGCCTAAAGTCACACGAATCCTAGTGCCTTCGTTTTGATTTCAAGTCAGTCAAGTCAAATATCAGAAATCAAAACCTCTCCTCCCTGAAAAGCCAAACCAGGGGGCAAGTCGAGTTAGCCAGCTTCACCTTCAGTCTCGCCAAGTCTTTCCAGCTCTGCCCGCTGATCACCGAAGTAATGTTCATGCTGTAAAAAGATACGTTTGCTTGGAAACGGCGGCTGGAAAATAATCCTTATTGTAGCATTTCTTCAAATTGTTCTCCGACTTGCCCCAGGCCCATTAAGGCCAATTTTAAGGCAGGGCAGTTGCCCATTATACCTTAATGTGCCCAATTATCCTTTATAAATAGGCTAACGTTGTGCAGAAGCAGACAATAAGCAGTGTAACCCTATAAAGATGCCCGGGGAGGCTCCGCCCCCTTCCTGTCACTCTTGATTACTTAGTTGATTATCTGATAGGTCCTGGGCAAACCCAGACGGTAGCCCCTCTCGGCCGTTCCTTCTGTTTGAAAATGTCAGCTGTCAGAATCTGTGCTGACCCCTGACCTTTCACCTTTCTCCACTGCAGACAGATAACATCTGTAGGCCGTAGCTGAATCTCAAGATGCATACTTGACCATACTAGTGTTCTCCTGTACCCGTTTTACATCATCTTCCATTGCCGAAGGCCAGTTCCAACACTAAGGACAGAAGTTCAGAGGACGGTAAAAAATCCCTGGATGTTGGTCTTGCTCCGCCCCAAATATCGACAGTACACTGGTTGCATCCTCGCCGAACTCGACCAATCCCACAATTCATTGCACCCCAAGTACATTCTTGGAAGGCAAGTTCACAAGACCAGTCTTGCCAAGACCACAAGTACGGTCTTTGTGTTCTTAGTATTGAGATTCTCCCTGTCACTCTCGGTCTTCGTGATGAAAAACAAAGTTTCATTCAGGTCGCATCAAAGCAGCGGCTGAAGGTCAAGCCCACCCCCAATTTAACTTAGCACAATGCCCAAGGTGATCGGAAGCATTTTCGCTAATTATTTTTAGCCATTTACTCGTTAATGTCATCCAGGGGTCTCCTGAAAAAAAATTCAGTCCAGACACCTCTCTCAAGGGCACAACAGCTATCTGGACATTTCGTTTTAAGACTCTGCATCTAACCCAGCTCACCTGAATTCATGCGACAAATTAGAGAAGAAAAGTATGGGACAGGGGGCAGGATCTACAGTGACTGACAGGGAGATTGACAGCCAATGAGGAAACGGATGGGCTTCACCATTTAGACCTAGTAACTGGAGAGAGACGGAGGGCCCTCCGGTCGAGAGACCAGCCTCCCCATGTGAAGTGGATGCAGACCTTCGCAAAGCTTGGACAAAACGAAGTTACCCAGGATGCCCTCGCTCTGCAGTGTGTCCACCCGCCCAATAAACCCCCTCATGCTCAACTAACAATAGGTTGCCATGGAAACTACCTCCAGGCAGAGGAAAATGATGCTCATTCTGCTCGCGATGGAGAAACACCATGGATCTTAAATGAGCTGAGAGACCTTCCTCTCTATCAGCCTCCCTGAATGGAAACGGGCTCTCCAACATGGTCCACTCTTCCATAGAAATGTCAAAAAAGGTAACAATAAAACCAATAAACTGTCCTATACTACTAACATGCATTTTTTTTTTAGTTAATTCTGTATGCATGGAAGGGCTGAAAGCAAGCCCACGCAACAACCCAGAAGTAGCTGGACCGTGTGACAGGCAGCGACAAACTCATTGGCCGGTGCTGGGAAGTGCCGCGTGCCGATTGGCCGGCCCACTTACCAGCCTCTCCATTTCCTGCTCCCGGAGCCTCTCCTCACGCTGCCGCCGGTGGTACTCGAGCAGCTCATCCTCGTTGTCGCTGATCTCCGTGATGCTGTTCTTGCGCTCCCTCATCCCTGGGTGTCCGACAGGCCTCCCCAGCTCAGCAGACATCTTGCGGGGGGGCCGGGGGCTGGGGAGTGGGGAGGTGCCAGGGAGGGTGGCCCCATAACCCACTGAACCTTTCCTCCCGCTGTCCTTCAGCAAGCTGGAGGTGGGCGATGGGCTCCGGGCTCGCACCCCCCGAGTCCCGAAAGCATCGTCCGGGGGGGAGCCCGCCTTGCGGCGGAGTCGCGGGCTCTCTGGCACCAGCTTGGCGGGGGCTCTGTCGGGTGGCCTGAGCACTGGGGTGGTCCCGGGGAGAGCACCGGGCAGCACGGGCACGCCTCGCCGACCCAAGGAGGGGCTCAGAGGGGGGAGCTCGCGCATGCTAATGCTGCCGCCTCCGCCGCTGACCTCCTGGTTGCGCCGAGCCAGACGAGGGCTCTCTGGAGGCTGCAGGAGGCGCTGTTGCTGCACCTGCGAGCCGCCGCCCGGGATGATGTGGATGATGGGGTCCAGCGGGGGCTGGAAGGAGCGCTGGGGTGGCGAGAGCTGCCAAGATGGGCTGGCAGTCAGCGAGCGGTCCGCAGGGCCCAGGTCGTGGAAGGGGCTATGCGGGCGGTCTTGAAGGGCAGCCGCCCTGGAGACCTGGGGGACTGGGGAAGGCGACGGGCTGGGAAACTTGGAAGTCAGCCTGGGGCTGCCCTGCTTCACCGAGAGCCTGTCCAGGGAGCTGCTCTCCCCAAGAGCCAAGGACACGGAGACCGATGGCAAGCTATGGTTCGGCCGGGGGCTGTTCGGGGCCCTCTCCAGATTCAGACCCCGACGCGAGGGGGTGGGACTCGGGGGGGCCTCCAGCAATACTTTCCTCTGAAGCTTGGGGCTCTCCGGCACCCTGGGTCCGACACTGTAGCCGGACAGCGCGGTGCGGGGCTGGGGGGTGGGTGGCTGCACCACGTGGTTGTAGCTGGACGAGCGGACAGGCACCGGGGGCAGAGAGGGGGCCGGATCTTGGCAGGGGCCTGGGGAGGGGCTGGTGTAGCTCCCGCTACTGGCCCCCGACGGAGAGGAGAGTGGGGAGAAAGGGGGCGAGGCGTTCTCGTAGCTGGAGCCCACGGACATGGCTCCCGGGCTGGTGGGCGGGGACAGCAGGTAGCGGCCCCCGCCATTCACCACAGGGGAGAGGGGTGACTGGGCTGCCGGGGGTCCAGCAGCCTTTTTAGGCTGCAAGGACGCGGAGGCCTGTGGCTCCTCCATCACCAGCGAGTCCATGATGTCCTGCAGGTCCTTCTCGATGGACGTGACCAGCGCACTGTGCTCGGGGCGCGTGCGCTCCCGCGGGACCGGCCGGGACTCAGGCAGACCCGCCTGGTGGTTCCCATTGACCAAGCTGTCCGAATCTGCAAAGAAGGACATGAAGGTCAGCGAAGGGGTCCACTACAGATTTCGGGCCCCATGAGATTATATCATATCGGGCCCCTAACCCAGACCAATCCAATTGTGTTCCAAATTTTTCAGGGCTTGTGTCACTCTGAGGCCCTTACAATAATCCCTATACCCCCCCCCCCCCTTTTACCCCACTGGGGAGTAGCCTGGGACCCCAGCAATGTGCCAACAAGCACAAGCACAGAGAGTAACCTTACAATAGCAAGGAATGAGGCACTGATTGTGCTCCAGGCAATCGATGGCGCGGAGCTAGAGGCAGGATTACGGGCGAATTTCAGCCCCGCGAAGCCAAAGGTGCGCGGCGGGCTGGAGCCTCGAAATATTTTCGCTTTTTTAGCCTCACTTTAATCCGGTTGCTGGAACTGTTATGTTTGTAAACTGCAGTCCAGAGCCATATTTACACCAGATGCTATCTTGCTTCCGGCGTGGGGTGGAGGGTTGGGGTTGATGAGACCCCAGTAAAAAAAAAAAAAAACTTAAAAAGTAGATTTTATTGGTGCCAAACCTGTAAGGACCCTGATCTTTCTGACATGACAGACACAGGATCCAGAATCTCTGGAGCCAAAGTGCTACCAGCTTCTGATCCCGGTCCGAGAGGACCACATGATAATGCCGAGCCTCGTTCAACCAATCGATCAGTCAGTCTTTTCTCCAGGAGTAGGAGTGGATGGAAGGAGATCAATAAATACTGCCAGAGTATTAAAACCCTTACGAAGCTGAAAGAGGAAACGCAAAGTTGTCCGACGGCACAGAGGGGGAACTCATTTACTCATTTGGCCAGTGGGGAAGAGACAGATTTATCTGGAGGAAGAGCCACGTTGACCTTGTAGCCAGTCAGCAGGTAAGGTGTGGGCTCACCTGAACTCATGCGTTCAGGCATGAAAAAAACGGAAGCAAGCGGAGCATCACTACCTTTTTCATGTATAAAAAATGGGTTTTAAAAAAGCAGTTAAAATATATACACCTGACTCGTGTCTATACAATTCCATCGAAGATTTAGTCACAAGAATAAGTGAAATGTCAATACACGGCGCAGAAACAAATGGTGGGTCTCGTAAATCTCTTAAAACGAGTGTCCAGTGGGACTGAACACAAATAACGCTTAGAGACGGTCACTTCGGTTAACCAACGCTTATGTACGCTGCCTCTGCTGTCATTGCCAAAATTTCCTTTGTTGCATTCGTTGCCTTTAGTACATTTGCTCAGAAAATAGACGCATATTTCTAATTTGACAACGAGCCTTTTAAAAATTAAATTGTGAAATGCTTATCAATGAAAAGACACGCTCTTTTCAATTATTATTCCCCCCAGTCGTATCTCGCAGATAAAATTGTCAGTTACCTGCGATGTTTACTCACGGAACAAAACAAAATCACAGCACGGATTTATGACAGAGAGAGAGAAGATGCGCCCGCACACGCACTCACCGGGACGGAAGGTCTGACAGCGATGCCGGCGCTCAGGTGCTTTAATGCGTCCCAGCTGCCAAACTGCCCTCAGCCTTCAGGGAAACGATCAGCGGCACCGTGACCCTCAAGCCTGGCGGCTGCCTGGATCGCGGTCCGTTCGCCGGCTGCCACTGGCCGCTCGCAGCCTCCCCTCCTTCCCCTCCTTTGATGAGCCTCCGCTTCCCTCCCCTTCCCTTCCCCTCCCCGCGGTAGCGATGTGACTGGCGGACAGCGCTCCGGAGGGGCGGTGCGATCTCCGGATTCCCCCTTTTAAAGCGCCCCGTCCGCCACTTACGGCAGCGCATCTCCGTGTGGAACCGGCGAACATGGCGAGTTACTTCCACAATCCACAGTTTATCTGCTCAGAAATAACTCTCTCAAACATAATTCATAGGCTATTTTAAAAGCCGAAAACAAAAACACATTCTGTCTTAACGTGCACCGTAAGCAGATATTATATATTATTATGACTATTATTTAATGTTGTGTCAACATATTATTATTATTATTATTATTAACAATAATAAATTATTTTTTATTATAAATAACAACAATATACGGCGGAAACCAGTGTTTAAAAATACACTGAAAAATAAACATTAAACCGGTTTTAAATCGAATACTCATTTGCTTCAAACAAATGTATCTATTGTTTTAGTGACTCGTATAAACGGCTACAGATCAAGGCAGGGACGAGAGGAGATATCGCGGGAAAGGAAATTAATGTCTACGAGATGTGATTAGATTAAAGTCACTGTGTGTTGCGAGGATGGCAATAAGCTACATCACAGGAGAAAATGTGAAATGGGGAAAAAAGAGGGTGGGGGTCGCTTAAAACTTAAATACAACACACAGTTGTCAAACAGAGCCCCAACGCCGTGTGAATGTCTGGAATACAGAAAAGCCCGCAGCTGCTTGAGGGACTGGAGCTTGTAAAACAGCCTCCCCAGTACTGAAACTACTACTCCCCAGCTCCGCCTTCCCATCAGCTGCCTAAGACCCGTTTTAGAAACGCCTTCTTGATTTCTCAGGGCTGCTGCTCTTTGCACGTTTGACCATTAGGATCTCAGGGAAGGAGGTGACGACGCCGAGGGGCACAAACCAACACGGGGCACCGCCGCGTGAACACGGACCAGTATGACAGTATGACAGGTGTTGTGTCAGCAAGAGGCTGCGAGGAAGTGAAGTAGATAATAGGCTCAGTGGACTCCTGGACGCGCGTTATTTCCTGACGGTTCGCCTGAAACGTGGATATAATCATGCAATCCTTTTATGTTTATGACCCACACGCCGAGTGACGGTTTTCTTCCAGACTGAATACTGCCTTGTACTGGCGCTGAATCTGCTCATTTCTGCCCTCTGCTGGCCTCTAGTGGAGTACAGCACGTACCCAGTCCAGTTAGGAAAAACAGCTGGGCCCTTTCTCTTCTCCTCCCCCCTCCCACTCCTTCTTTCAACTGCCACGTAGAAACAAGTCCATGTTTAATTAGACGCCAGCCGTACACTACGGGGCGCTCTGTAATTAAAAATGACGTCACATAGGTGTTCAGATCCCCCCACCCCCCGGGGCTGATTGCAGGGTTTACATGCATCTTCGGGGGGGGAGGGGGGGGGGTACACGTTTCCCTGACAGCACAGTAGCCATTTTTCTAGGGCACTAAACAGTCTGTTGAAAGTCTGTGGGATTCTCCTTAGCAGGGACAGAGTAACAATGTTTTCACAACTAATATGGGCTTTTCTTGCTTTGAAAGAAAAAAAAAAAACCCGCTTTGCGTATTTAAATTAGTTTTTTGTTGTTATTTTTAATAAAAAGGCCTCTCCTTTGTTTTTGTTTTTTTAAGACCACATCTGTAAACGAAAAACAAACAAAAAAAACAAACAGAAAACGTATCTTCTAGATATTTCAGGAGTTCCAATTACAGGACCAGCATCACAGCAGGAAATTACATCCGTCTGAATCTCTCATGAGAAAACAGACACAGTCTTGTGTAGAAATGATTTATCATTAGGCAGCATAAAAAATAATTTTAAAAGAAACATAACAGTGTCCCTTGTCCCCAGCCCTGACCACAACCAATCCCCCAGTGCATTCTTCAGCATGCAGGCTCCGCCCCCCCCCCCCCCACCCCCCACCCATCGCACACACCTGTGGAAAGTTTATAGCCAGCAATGCATCAGTCTGACCAACTCACCTGTCTGGGCACGGCATTTACATCTATTTATTTACAAGTCGAGATGCAAGCAGGGCCAGTCAGTATCTGCGAGGCAACTGGTGTTATGGACCTTTCTCTAATGATTAGAACCCATAACCTTCTGGGGGCGGGCATGAATCCCTAACCCGCTGCGCTGCACAGAGCCTCTCTCACGCCAAGGGCAAGCTAGCCCTCCTCCCAAGGACTTCAAAGTGGGTATTAAAACTGTCAGCGATGAAGGGGCATTTCTGCTGGCAGTCACATGAGCGTCACTAAAGCTCAAGGCTGCTTCTCACCGGATTAAACATGAAATTAAAGCCGGACGCTCTCTGCCGGGGCACAAAATGCAGACACGTGCAGTTACGGCATCCGTGGCGAGCTGAAGTCGGGCTGCGTGGTGGGCGATACGGTTTTCTTCGACGTCTCCCTGTCAGACGGATCGTAACAGCTCTTCTGTGCCCGTAGATCCGTTTGACGGGGAGACGTTGAAGAAAACCGTATCCGCGACCGCGAAGCCTGACTTCAGCTCGTCACGGACCCCGTAACTGCACGTCTACCACTTCAAGTCAATGGATGCCAATTGCAGTCAGGGTGGGGGCACGTTTCTCCCCTAAGTGGCAGGATATAGGTGTCAAGGTGGCAGGAGGAGGGTAGAGCCAGTTTGAAGGTTGGTGCTGCGCCCCCCCCGTGGTGGTGGAGACTCACCTGTGTGGATCCTGTAGCCCCCGCCGGGGGTCTGGCCCACCCCTGGCAGCATGCTTTTCATCCTGAAGGCCTCTTCTGGGTGGTTGAAGCGGAAAAAGGCCGACTGGCCGAAACACAGCATACAGCCTGTCCAGGGAGCAAACTGAGCGTTAGTGATTCGCACTGGCGGGAGCGACCAGAATCAGCCGACAGCAGTTCAACCGCGAGATGATTTGCGGCTTCCTTGTAGTTGACATATGTTTTGCATAAGAATCTGCATAGGTGTTTCTGTCTTTTTGGAAGTAATTTGTGTTTTCTCCCAAAACAAATGCATAAATCAGTTCAGTGGGATAAGTCTGCTACACAAAGGAGGTGCTAAAATTCACAAATAATATCTTGAACTGTGAGGGTAAAAGACATAAGGCCTCAGTTTAAGGCAGCATATTTAACTCCATGACCATAGATAAACACCGGAACAAAATCCAGGCAACATAAGGATATGTCATATACAAATTAATGGGCTAATCAGAGTGAGTGTTTTTTCAAATAAGCAAAGTACCAGCCCCGCCTGAAAGCTGATTGGCCCCTCCCCTGTCACTCACCGATTCAAAGCATTTCATTGGCTAATGATAAGGTTGACTTCTCTGTATGAATTTTGGCCCCTCTTATGCTCCCACCATAAAAAAATGTGATTTTACGTTTTAAATTGTAAGTGCTATGTGATATAACTGACCCAATCCAGTATGACGGACCATCACAGAACCAGGCACTAAAATGTATTCTGGATATCAAGATTTCAACTCTTCTGAGTTGCATAAATATACATAGGATGGTGTTATCCTGATGTACTTTTAGGGCTGTTAGATGTGTTTAGGTACCACAAAATGGTTTGTGGGGTGGGGGGGGGGGCAGACTTTGCTGGTCCCTGAGGGCATGGGGAGTCGGAGAGGGGGGGTGGAAAACTTGGCATCTGTGCAGAAGCTCATTAGTGTGCCGACGGCCCAGCCCAGCCCGTGGGGCGGGGGAAATGAAAAAGGCCGACCGCAGTAGTGAAGCCCACACACCCCAGCGTCAGGCTCGGAGGCTGGAGACAGCCCCCCCAAAGAAACCGGGTCACAGAGTCTGCCTGGCACCGGCACAGAGTTTCGGGCAGCGCCATAGACCGCCGGGCCGAGGGAGGCAGATCTCATTTCCCAGGGCTGTGACTCAGCGGCCAGTCAGCCCCGTTACCGGGGGAACAAATCGGCCGGTGACACCTCGGTAAATACGGCGCTGAGGACGTAAGGGCGTCCGCGCCGGAAATCTCGGTGCCCCCCCCCCCACGCCCATGTGCGTAAGACCACCTGCCACTGGAGAGGTGGAAAAAGCCGGAAAGCATGTTTGTGGAAAGAAAAAAAAAACAAAGAAAACGAAGGGCAGGTGCCCTTTTATTTCGGGGGGGGGGGGGGGGCACAGCATCCCACAGGGAAAACTGTCACGCCGTGTGGCCGGCTCCCGAGAGCCCTGCCAGTTATCGCACGGCCCATAAAACCAAACGGGCAAATAAACACCTGCAGGCTACACGAGGGTGATCCGAAAAGATCCGTGGAAGCGCGTGGGATTATTCATCCAGCTCAGCGCCCCTCCCAGTCTGCCCACGTTTACCGTGGGACACAGAGGCGTATGAGAGACGGGACAGGTCCAGCCGTCCTGCTGACCACAGATCACGCCCCTTTAATTCGCTTTATGGCCATTTCTGTTGCGGCTGGTCCCCAAGCGGCTGATTACAAGGAAGCGTTTTGGGCTGTAACAGAACGAGCGTTAGGCCGCTACAGGGTGAGGCCTCCCCCGGCAGCAGGAGAGTCTGAGGTTCCAAAGAACATCACAACAGCTTTAAATTGCCCTTGACAGCACTTGGTGTGTGTGTGTTGGGGGGGGGGGGGCGGCTTGCAAACGATGAGTATCCAGCCTGTTATATCCCACCTTAACTATTAAGTTACTGAAAAACAGTTACTGAAATTTGTAGGCCGAGAGGCAGTGACGGGCACGCTGGAGGGGTGGCATGAGCGGGGCAAAGCAGAACATCTGCCAATGGAAAGGAAAGCACCTACAGCGAGGAGAAGGAACAAGACACCCAGGAAACATAATGCCCATATAAGGGACCCACTCAGAACCCGGGCCTCGGGGGGCCCCCACACAGTCTGCATTTTAGCTCCCTCCCAGCTCCTAGAACACCGGAACCAAACAATCAATAACAAACCAACTAATCAAGAACACAGAATAGCTGGTACAGGTGCGCTGGGAGCTGCGGACTGGCTGCAGATTGACTGGATTGAGAAACATCAAGTTAAGGGGTTGTTCAGTTTAGGGATCGCCTTGACAGATCCCACATGTATGGATTTCTGGGGGCGGGGGTGTGCACCGTGTGGGTATAAATGATACATAAAGGTATCAAAAACGAACTGCACGGCCAAGAGCCTGCTGGAAAAGAGAGAATAAATCCCAGCATGCCCCGCTTCCACCTCAAAAGCGCATGGTAATGAGCAATAAACAGGAGGCCCTGCAGTTCCAAAGGGGCCCCCCATCAGGAACGGGTCGGGGTGTGGTGACTCGGCACTAAACAGGACCATTCGTGGGGGGTCGGCGTGTCCCTCATTGGAAAATTGTTGGTTCAAATCCCAGTATCAGCAGTATAATTTCATTGTTAGGCACCGGAGCAAGGGCCTTAACCCCCAGTTGCTTCAGGGACTGGCTGACCTTGCTTTCTCAAAATATGTATGTGAGAAGCATCTGCTAAAAGAAAACTGTGCCATCCACAAGCATGACGGCAAACTAATATAACTCCATTTCTCGTCCTCGTTTCGTAAATTGGGACACAATTCTCCCAGTCATGCGTCACCTCCACAGCATCCCATCCCATCATGCTTTGCTGCGAGGAATCCGTTTTATACTTCGCCAAAAAAACAGACCTCCGACACAATGCTGAATAGACGTGTTCTCAAGAATCACTGGGGGAGTGATCTGTGACAAAGAAACAAAATCTGGATTTGTAGCTTCTGGACCTAAAATGCCCAGCATTGCAAATGTTCAATTCCATGCATGAAACAAGTCCTTTGTCTTCACGGGAGGAAAAATGAGATACAGGATACAGATTTCCCATAATCCTCCAAGGAATAAGTGGTAACATGTAACATGTAGCTTCGTTTTAAAAAAAGCAGCTCGTTAATGGAAATGGCCGCCCTCTACTCCTCCTTGCCCACAGCAAGAAGAATTAGGTCCTAGTAGATCTAACCTAGATCTGAAGGCTGCTGTTTACAGTTAGCAGACAACGTGTGATGTTGTCTTTTCCTGGACTGATCCCCAGAGGAGGGGGGCTCGGCTCTGAAGCTGGGAGTCTATCCTGTTTAAAGTAATGCACAGAAAAAGCCCGGAAAGACCTTCATGCAAAGCGCACAGTGTTACACCCCCCCCCCCCCCCCAGTCCCGGTCTGCTCTAAAAGCCCTGTTGTCTCCAGGGCTTCAGTATCTTATCTCTGAAGTAGGATGTGATAAGACAAACCGTCAGACTGGGGTGAACAGAAGACAGAAGAGGAGCGGTTAGTGGGTGGGGGGGTGGAGGCCACGGTGCCGAAATGCCCATCTCCTCCTGGAGCAATTTTGGGCAATTATGAGATGCAGCGGCGCAGGAGACCTGGATGAGATGCCGCTCCACACGGCCTTCGTCTGGTTTCCCGCCTTTGGTCATTTCTCCTATTTTGACAGAATCTGCATCACATTCAGGTGCCGTGACGACAGCCACCACTGACCCCTGGGGTCAAGGCACGGGGATGCCGCTACTGTTAGTCCTGGCGCCATGGCAACCGACCGCTAGTACTATAGGCAACAATGTTACTGGTATCAATACTATGGCGACCCATGAGACCGAACCAACCAGAAACAGCACCGTCCAGATAATGTAGCTCTGGCCAAATCCAGGGGTGGAAAATACTGCAGTGATTGATATATCTCAACTTATAGATGCTACTGCTGCTATTTGTACTACAGACACTACCCAAGTTACAATGGTCCGTGTTACAATATTTCATCTTTACGATGGCGATGATTATTCTGCACTAAACCGACTGGGCAGTTTGTCCCATTGCATCTTATCCAAATATCTGGTTTTGCTTACTTATATATACACACTCTACATTGTTTGTTGGTTATTGTTCTATTATAATACTCTGTTATTTTTGTCTTTTATTTTGTTTTTATCTAACGTGATGAATTACACCAAAACAAATGCCCCGTTCGAGGACTGCACGCGGCAAATAAAGTTGACTCCGATTTTGATCCTGTTGTTTTTTTCCAGTTGATAGCCTGAATCACTGAATTACCGTTCATGCTGTAAGAATGACTATTTATGCTGCTATTAGCGCTGTAGCCAGTTTTAGCCAGTGCTGATAGCTACCGGCACTGGCACTGGCACTGCGATGGCTGGTGCGGTGCTTTAGCGCGTAGCGCTAATGTCTTACGTGACGTCAGCATCGCTTCAGCCCCCCCGGGAGGTGGCCTACTCCCATTGTCCTAATGATCCCGACCGCGCATCATAAAATAAACCCGTTTAATCTCACGACGGGCGTCCACCCCCCCTCCCCGGCTGACGACTGAGACCTCAGTTTTACAGCCTCCGTTATCTGGTTGGCTCAGAACCTCACCGACATCCCTGCGTCTAATCTGTTCTGGCCCCTTTATTGAGGGCAGGCTGGGGAGGGGTTTGGGGGGGGGCCTGTGTAGTCGGCTGGCTGAGTGGAGTGGGGGCCCTCTCCAGAATTAAGATTCACAAGGTCGTTTGTGGGGAGACAGTCTTAAGCGGCAAGAGGCAAACGGGCCCAACCAGGACACATAAATCTGCATCGCTGGTACCAGGAAAGAGCCTCATCAGCGACTTAAACAGGACATTATCCAACTCATTCCCAGACTCTTGCAAACCCTCCCATAATGAAAAGGTATGATTCCTTTTTATACAGCCATAATTACTGATGACTGATTATTTTCTTATATGTTAAATTTCTTAGACGATTAAAATACATTTCATTGACTAGCTGATCCTTCTACTCAGAGTGAATTTTTATTCAATTATGCAGCTGGCCACTCAAGTAATTCAGTATAAGTCTGTTTCTCAAGGGTAAAACAGGAGAACCTGGAAATGACAAGCTTTGTACTACGAGTCCCTGTCCCTGGCTACCAGCCTCTTAATAAAAATATGAATATTTATATCAAGGCTGAGATAAAAGGAGGGTGTGAGTCAGATCAGAGGTTGCGGCTGCAGCCTGTTTATTACTGTAGGGTCCTAAGTCATGACTGCATTTGCATCTCCATGATGCAGCTGTAGTGTGATTCTATAAACGCGGCCTAAGAATACTCAGGAAAGACAGAGAATCAGGCAGGGCACCAAGTAACTGTCCAAACAGACCACTGCTCTTATTTTCTAGTACGTTTTTTAAATTCGAAATGGTTACATTTATATTTTGAAACAAATTTACACACAGTATTTTTAGTATTCTGGTCCAGAACTGGTTCGATCAAGTGTCACTGGGTGGATAAAACTGTAGTGTGCAAATCTCTCTCTCTCTCTCTCTCTCTCATACACACACACACTTTCTGATTCTTCACTCATAGCTTCAAGTTGGTGCACTGAGCCAGACCCCTGTACCAGGAGAAGGACCACTGAACTGCAGTCTGCTGAATTACGATTTCATCAGCTGACTTTGCCTGACTGTTTTCTTCAGGAGCTGAATATTCTGCCCAATTAACTATGTGTAATTTTTTTTTGAAAAGCAGCCACACTATGGAGAAATTAAGTAAGATCTATTGCAGCTAACACATTTATACTAGAATTCCCCAATGTATTCCTCATCTACAGCAGAAATATAGGGTCAACCTAGAATAGACTGCAAAATAAATATTATGTGAAAAAGCTGATGAAGTAGAAGCATGGAGTTACCATGGAGTTGGTAGAGTCTACAGTGGAGAATGACTTGCAGTAGGAGAGACCTCCACTACGAGCTACCACAGCACTCATCCAAGTCTACACCATCAAGGAGATATACCAAGCCTCACCCATACGATGGCATTTAGCCCCATGTCCTTTTGAGACCCCCCCCCCGGGGAAGCCTGGGTGTTTTGTCTGCCGGATGCCTACAGATTACAGATACCCCACCACAGCTACTGTGGGACACCTTCTGCCAGCAGTGTTTGGATTATTAGAGAATCTAGACCTTCCTCGTGCAATTAGAGCAGCCCATTATCTCCCCCCATAAACACCCCGACCACACTGTCAATTTCAAAGACGGTTCGGTAATCTACCGCGTTTATACTTACATGTGTATATAAATGGACTGAGGCGGGTTCAACATATTCCCTCTGAGGGTTTCATATTTTTGTTGTAATCTCCTCTCCGGAAAGGAAATTAAAAAGACCACCAGAGGAGGGGAGATAGCAACCACACTACAGATCTGGCTTCCACCATCAATGTTTCTAGAAACTTCCTGTTAACCTGTTATCTGAAGACCCTATTATTAAAGATGGAAGATACATCTACGGAGTAAACTATCATTTGTGAACAAGGGGAGATTTATAATTTGATTTATACCACCGAGAACCATATATACCACAGTTACATTTTCCCAAGTGCAAAATTTCCAGAAACAAAAAAACGCTAATTACAAACCAATACGGTTAATTTCGAAAGGACCATTTAAATTTAGAGAAAGCTGACTGGAAATCTCAAATTTATAACAAAATATATTTGACACGTGGACGAAAATGTCGACGAACAGAAGCCAGCAGACAAGCGACATAAGTCTGACAGATGTCCAGGTCCGTCATTTCCTCGCCGCGTTACGCAGGTCCCTCTAACAGATGGCTACCATTAAACACAAAGCACATATGATACGTATCTGCGCGATTTGGTGCCAGACGTGCGCATTTTCAATATAAACAAGGACAGGAAGAATCAGACGAAATATAGCAAGAACTAAAATTAAGAAGTAAAATCACAGAATCGTCCACATCTGCTGACACTGGGGAGGATTAAATATTTATTTCCTTCGACACTATTTAATCTATACTGACCTTAAACTATACTATACCACTAATGTGCCGAGGGTCATGACTCGTGAGAAAGGTGATAAGGATCTAAAAATAGAGCAGTAAACAAATGTTTAATTGTTTTCGTTTAACAAACAATTTAATTGGTGTCAACTGAAGGCAGACAAAGTTAGCGTGGAAATTCCCGGCTGGTCAAAGATCGGATTTATGAACCAACTAGGTGAAGACTGCATACAAACTATACGGGGGTAAATAAGTAACAAGAACCAAAATTTGCCGAAATGATCGCGGCAAATAAGCATCTTTTACACTGAGACGTGGCAGTTTGTCTGCATGGACTCGGGGATCGGGTGACGTTACGAAAGCGGGGCGTTATTAACGACCCTGTACTCCTTTTATTTATTTCCATGATTAAACTTTATTTGAGCGACTCACCGTCGGCAAAAAGGGTCCCGGCGACCGGCCAACGACAGGGTAAAAAATAAAGCTCTTACGAAGACAGTTGACAGCAGCCCTTGGTCGTGCTGGCCAGAAATAGAAGTGTAATAATATATTGCCTGCCAAAGACGACGCCAAACTGAACAAGAATATCGCCCTGGCACAGAAATGAGTGAGATCCCCTTGTAAAAACGAATTAGATCAAGATTTAAAAACAGCCGATGGCTGTCTGGTTGCAAACTGATCCTAACATAGTTTCCCGTGTTTCTTGCATTCTGTACATGATGTTTTTTTTTTTAGTCTGACCGCTTGAATGATTTAACAGTTTTGGAAACAACCTCTGCCTTGCTAATTCTTAAGCGGTCTGGTCCAAGTAAATTGCTGAGTCAATATTAGTCATCACTTAAATGAATAATCGGTCCATCATACCCGCGCTGAACACAGACTGGTCTGTGATATTCTGATTTCAGACTCCATGTGTCCCATTCATTTGTGTATATAAATCACAGCCTAAAACGTCTAGTCTCTCTGCAACTTTGAAGGTGCAATAAAAGAATGCGGTTTTATTCTGTGTTTGCCAGCTGTCCCCTGTCCCCTTAGTAAAAGCGGAACGAGGGCGCAAATCAGCACAAGTTATCGCCAATGTCTTTTAAAGTGTCAGCTATACGTGAATGATCAGTGAATCACTTTCATTTCAACTATGCAGTCGTTCCGCCTCCGCTGCAGTAATCGGACAGGGAATATAACGTGGCTGTGAACACACAAACACAATGAAAAGAGAAACCCCGGTCGTAGTGATTTCGCTTTCAGACGTGCGGGGAGGCGCGCGACCGTGTGCGTGATTCTATCTGGCAGCACCATCTCACCGAAAATCGGCTCCAAAAATCACACACTAGTCGCAAAGTTAAGCACTTACGCTCAGAGCCAATGAACCAAAGAAGCAGCGTCCCCCGAAGCCGACATTGCCTCTGTTCTTACATGGAAATCATTGTGCTCCTCCGGCAAAGCGCACCTCCAGCGCACTGCGTCCGCCGCCTTTGTGATGATAATGTCAGTCACTATTGTCCCAACAGTCGCTCACATCAGCGCAAACGTCCACCTGTTTCATTACGCTGTAAAGGGTCTATATTCCAGCTTTGCGCCGTAGCCAAACCAATGTCAAGTCATTCAAATGCAATATACTGCACTTCAAACAGCTTTACGGGCAGAGTAACTTATTAATCGTCTTCGTCCACAACGAGCGAACCGATCTCTTCACCTTCTGCGCAAATAAATGTTTTTAAATCGTTAAGTATTGTTTCTAGGAGCATAACTTGGCTCTTGGTCTTGTCCCCGAAGTGAAGGGCGAGCACGGAGCCCCCAGCCGCGGACACAGCGATGCACTTCAGGCGGATCGCAGTCTTTCGGGAGCAGAACAGCTGTCCGACTTAATCGCTTTTCACGAATCCAGTTTATTGTAAGCGAAGAGTGGGAATGTGGCCCGGAGCGGAGCGGACGGGAGCCGCCGCGTCAGTCACCTCGGCGCGGTTACCATGTGCGGGAGGGCGAAGGAGGAGGGGCGCACCTCCGACCCCCTTTGTCAAAACCTGCGTTTTGCTCCGTACGTTGTTCCGCGGTAGTAATAAAAATGTTCCCCTTCTTAGAATTTTCTTGAATCTTGTTTTTAGAGTATATAGACAATCGAATTTCCCTGCATTTCTCACGACAGTCCTACAAATAATGAATTTATATACTACTAGAACGAGGCAGTATATTTCTTGTTCTCTTTATTTGTATAATAATAAACTAAAACATACTAGGGACCTTCTGTGTTAATATTACTGATTTACATTTAGGCGTATTTTGATTTAACTCTTTGTGAATTGGTATGCTAGTTTGTTTCGTAAAAGTTAAATACTAAAGCCTGCGTTCCTGCTTCAGATTAAAATATTTAATCGCTTTGTTTTTTTTATAGCGCTTCGTGTTTTATATTATTTATAGACACTCGGTTGTGGTGTTTAAATATGCCGTAGGAAAGCAATAATGTAGCAAAACAGAAGGAATTCCGAAATGCCCCGAAATTCGCTTTGAAGCACTAAAACGTAGTTGTCATTGTCTTAAATGATTAAGCCAGTGGAAGGAACTGACAGGCTAAAGGAGAAAGATGGGAATGGGGGTGAAGGCGGGGAGTAAAACCCTCTTTTGTGGAGCGCAGGCGACGTGCCCCGTTACCATGGAAACACAAACCCCAACCACCCTATCACCGGTGTCTGCCAACGAAATCAGTTGCCGAGGCGAGAAACAAAATAGTTAATTACGGTTAATTGTTTTTCTGTGCTGCCCTCGAGGGCAAATTAGAAAACACCAGCGCTATATGTAACAGTGAAAATATCACAGTGTTAGTGTTCTAGATCATTTAACACCATTCCCAACTGCTTCTGGCTACCGTGATCAAAGGTGTGAGACTTGCATTTATTTTTTACATTTATTTAATTTAGCAGACCCCCTTTTTTTGCAAAGCGGGCTACAAGTGAGACAAATGGCAGGTTACAAACACACGTGCTTTCGTGGAGTCGACCATGCGTAAGTCCAGCTTGTGACGGATCAGGCAATTAAGAGATGGCAATTAACTTAAATACATTCCTTAGGGCTGCAGGGGGACACCAGAGTACCCTGGGGAGACCTACTTGACGCCGGAGAAAAATGTCCTTCTGTCAACAGATGAAAACGGCAACACTTGCACAGTTACTACAAGAAAACTGCAGGAAGTTTCCATCGCTCTTTAAGCTCCTCCCATAACATGGACTAACATGAGGTTGTAGTACGAGCGTATACAAGTAGCCTATGCTTCATGCCGAAGATTATCAATGAATGATTTATTGGGTGGAGCATATTTTTTGACAGCTCATAGTCAAATCAACAGTTTACTTCAATGACAGATATCCTGGTTGGATAATTCAGGGCTTCTTCTTCCTCTTTGGATTGACTGTCATTTTCCATACATTGATTGTTTATTATTAGAAATATTTAACCAAGCCAAGTTACCTAATTCCCAACAGATCCATAGAAACATCTTCAATGTGGCGTGATCATGCTCACCCACTGGCAGTGAGAAAGCCAACGCAGATCGGCTATCACAGCTGATCTCGACGGGGCCTCCAACCTCAGCAGCCATTAACCTCCCAGGTGGCCAGGAAGTGAAGGCGATATTTTAGAGCCAAACAAAAATAGTCTGATGCACTCAAATTTCCGAGAGAACCTAGGTCCTTTTGGTAGGGCCGGACCACATCCAACTGTGATAAACAACCGCGCTTATCGAGAGAAAATACGATGTGGTTAAAAGGAATCACGACGCAATATGATGGCGCAAAGACGGGCTGGCAGGATTCCAAATACCAGTTATGTTTTCATTTTACATCATATTTATTTAGCAGGTGCCAATGGCGTAACTTTGGTTTGAACTTTTGGTTTGGTCTGCACCCCTTTAAGGGGGGATGTGATTATTGGGGGGATTGTATTCGCCCATTTTGATTATTGGGAGGTTATAAGCCCCCCCCCCCCTCATAATTTACACCTATGACAGATGCTTTTCTCCAAAAACACGTACAAATGAGGAAGCAGGGTCAGGTAGTCCCTGGAGCATTCAGGATAAAGGGCTCTGGTCAAGGCCCCAGTGATTAAAATCACTCTGTCGGTCATGGGATTTGAACAAGCAACCTTCCGATCAAGGGCACAGAGTCCCTAAGCCATAGAGCCATCCCCCACACTGTCATTTTGGGACTTCCATCTCAATTCTAACCCAGAATTGGTATTCCTTAGCCATACCAAACTAACCAGAAATTTATTTTGCAATGTTTTTCAACAGCCCTAGAAGACAAACAGTGACTGTGCTGGACTTCTCCCTCTGGTTTCCCACCTTCATTCTATATAAATAAAATGTTCTGTAGGTCGGTAATCACCTACGAAGGTCCCCTCATTTGAGCAAAGCTATCTTCGCTGTGGTGAATCCTTCTCGGCATGGCTCTAGTTATAAATTCGGAAAGAGCCCCGGAGGAACCAATTCTTAATTTAAATTTGAGTGAAAATTTGCTGGACGGAATCCCCCTGATTCCCCAGTGCTCCTGTATTGACCCACGTCCTCACAGTCTCTATGTCAAATAAGCTCAGATTCCTTGCTTAATCCACAATGAATTGTTCTGAGCTGTAAATATAATGCAGCTTAAGAAAGATCTTCCAATCCAGATTTCAGTCAGGAAATACATTCAGTATTAGCCAGGCCAAATAGCAGTAAGTAGAAATTTCTGAGCTGAAGGAGACAAGAGATTGTTTGTTTAGGAAGATGTCTGGTGCCAACAGCAGTAGCTTCCTGCAAAGCTTGAGAGGCTTCTCCCTGTTAATGACGCACAGGACAAAGAGCAAGCGTGGCACTCCAAGAGTATCATCCATAGTATGAGAGTATCCAAGAGTATCATCCAGAGTATGAGAGTATCATCCAGGCTTTAGTGACAACAAATGAGCCCAATAAACAAGATATGCCTTTAAAATAAGCTGTAGAGATTTAATGGAAAATTTGATTTAGATTTAATGGTGACATAGACTGACCTTTGTGTGGCGGATGGGAAGCGTAAGCACAGCCATACCTTGGGACAGCAGAACCGGCTTCGTAATGGGGATCCCGTCCATAGTGCACTGGTTCCCACAGGGGTGCAGACTGATGACTCCAGCGCGGTTCTCGATGTAGCAGTGCTGGGCCCTGATTCCCGGGCCCTGGATGCTGATATCCGTGTTTCCACAGCCAAGAGTGGTACGTCCTGGAAAAACGATACGTCAGATTGGCAGCATGAGAACCACTGACCGTGAGTTACAATTACAACATACATCGTCTCCAGGAAGCTTGGCCATTTATTTTTATGCTTCACCTAAAGGTATAAAGTAACCCTTTAGCACTTCTGCTAAGCATAACTACACTAAATCTCTGACAGAGACAGCAAATCCTAAGGACCGCATTCCACACTCGTCAGCGTCCTCCCACATCTACTCTGCGACCACTGATAAGACAAATCCTCCTGGAATGTCTCAGCTGGACGCAAAAGGCCCCCCCAGGGTTCTACAGGATGTGAACTACAGCTCCTCCCCCCCCCC